AATTTCTCTTCAAAGATGTCCTTCCCCGTTTTGCATCACTTTCTGCGAATCGCCCAGTCCTCCAGCTTGTAGTGCTTCAGCTCCTAGTAGTGTTTTGCCCCCCGTATCACGCTCTCGAAGGAAGACATTTCGCAGTGAAATTCTGGAAATTGTCCAGCGTGATATGAGGGAGCGCAGAGAGGAGCAATCAAGACTGGCTGATTCGCTAAGCAATTTGGGGAACGGCCTTTCATCTCTTGCTGGTGTAATTTAGGAGCTGATTTCTCTGCAAAGACAGCAGCAGAATTAAGAACTGCACATATCGAGCTCTAACCGCCAAAGAGACGTAAGCGACATTTTTCTAATTTTCTTTTTGATGCATATGTACACTCACCAGATAATTTTTCCGCACAGTGTTTTTTTTAATATTTGCAATGTTTCTCATAAACAATTTTTTCGCACAACACTTTTTTTGAACTACAAAACTGCATACTCAAAAAAATTCTTAAAAATTTTAATTAAAAGTTGAAAATTTTGGTGAAAATTTGTCGAATTTTCCTCAATTTTGTTAAAACTTTGAATCAGAATGAACTATATTTCTATTAAAAATAAACGAAAAAAAATATTACGAAAAACATTGCAAATATTTAAAAAAGAAACACTGGACGGAAACATATTCTGGTGAGTGTATATACTCCTAGAGCATCAAGATGCATTTCTGCATCAAAAAGAATACTCAAAAAAGGTCGCTCACTTTTTTTTGGCGGTTAGGGCTCGATGTATATAAGGCTGAATAAATTTTTTGTTTTTGTTGAATTATTTCTTTTTTTTATATAGTTAGTATTAAATTTTATTCCTGAAACATATACATATACATATATACTAAGAACTAGCACATGTACATATATAAATAAGTTTTTTTTTCATATATTATAAGTAGATGAAATTCGAAATTAAGTGTGACTTTATCTTTTAACATACCATATAAGCATTTGAAATGAAATGTGATATGAATTGATATTTTATAACCCAAGTACCTACATAAATGAATTAAAGCGACAATGAATTCAGCTATCCAATATTTATTCTTTTTATTAAATCAAATTTCATGCTGGGGTTAAAAAAACTTAAAAGCTTGACATTCTTTTCTTAAAAACTATTTATTCCAAAGGATGAAAAAATATAATATATTCGGTGCTATGATGAGTATCGTCATCGTCGACGATCTTCCGGCCATCATTCAAACGGCTGACGATGGGCGTATATAAACGTATAGCTTATTATCTATCAAAAACCATATAAATCTAAATTGCAAAAATTTTAACAAATCAGAAGTCTGAGCAAAATTTCAAGCCTTTTATTCAGAACTTTTAGAAAGTATTTGGGTATGCAGTTTTATAGCCCATTTAATTCTAATATAATGAAGTACAAGTTTCAAGTTGCTAAAACATTGGTTGATTTTTAGAGATATTTTAGAAACTTCAGACTTGCACTTTGTTGTACTACAATTAAATGGGCTATGCAAATGCATACTCAAAAATTTTCTAAACATTCTGAATAAAAGGTTGATTTTTTTTGAGACTTCTGTTCTGTTTCTAGCTTTTGCACAAAGTATGTAATTTAGATTTATATGGTATTTGATAGATAATAAGCTTTACCTTTTAAAAAAAACAAAGAAAAAATTTCAGAATGAAAAACGTTGCGAAAATTGTAAAACTATCACTATATCATTTGAGTGTGAGTTACTGTATATTATCTTAATAAAAAGTAATATACTACGCTATATGGTTGATTAAATGTCGGCGAACTCTTTCACCTTCTCGGTGGAGGTGACTGCTAGTTGCATTCGAGGATTCTGTAATTAGTTCCCAACTTTCTTCTTCTTCCAACTCCACTTCATCATTTGGCCACAATTTCACCATAATATTGTGTAAAATAAAGCAAGTGTTTACTATTATAGTCACAACCTCTGGGCTATAATGCAACGTACGATGCTGTGAAATGCATCGAAAACGTGACTTAACTACGCCGAATCCCCTTTCTACAACATTGCGTGCTTTGCAGTGCATTTTGTTGAACTTTTCCTCTTGCAAAGACGCTGATTCAGCCAAGGGAGTAATCAGCCAAGGCTCTAATGGATATCCCTGATCACCAAGGAGCAAACTCCCTCTTGATGTGCTCATGAATGAACGCACTTTCGATGTTGTCCATAAGCCTGAGTCATGGCAGGATCCCGGAAAGTTAGCATTAATGGCCAAAAATCTTAATTTATCATCACATACTGCTTCAACATTAACACTATAGTAACCCTTTCTGTTCATATAGAGACTGCAGGGTTTTGTTGGGTCATTCTTCGGTGGACAGATCAGCGCCACATGTGTGCAGTCGATTGCACCAACAACTCCTTTCAATCCGAACTTTGTATAGAATCTAGCCAAAATTTAAAAACTCATGAGCACATTTACACATACTTAATTTGTTGGTAGATTAACCAGCTTTTATAGCCAATTGTTCCTCGTTTGTGACAGGAAATGTTACTTCCGATGACTTGTGCTTCACGATCAGGTTGCATATATATTTAATTACCCGTGAAGCAGACGATTGACTGAGTGGAGCGTAGATATTGTTCGCGATACATTTTTGGTACGAACCATTCGCCAAGAAAGTGAGGCAGCAAAAAAATCTCACAGCAAACGGCAAGGACGTTCTCTGCATATCCTTTGGAAATAGTTCCTGTATTAGCATCTTAGATAGATAGATAATTAATAGAGGCATGCACTGCGACCAGCAGGTCTATTGTGCCCTCAACCATTTACAGTACCTCATCTAATCCTAGAGAGCCCAAAAATTTGAGGAGATCCCCAGGGATTAGCGATTGTATTGCTTCGTTACTTGGCCAGTAGTGGCCCAGGTGCCTCTCCCGTCTTCTCGCGACCGCCACGCATTCGCTAAGCAGGTGCACGGGAGTCTCCTCGGTCACGTCGCAGAAACGACATAGGTCGTTGGACCAAATCCCTAGCTTGTGTAGGTGGCCTCTCAGTCTGCAGTGACCCGTCAGAAAACCTGTTATGATCCTTAGTTTTCCTTTGGATAGATTGATAACTGCCCTGTACCTCGTGAGGTTGTAGCCTCCCAGTAGTTGTTTTGCTTGACGTAAACCTGTAGTGTTGCGCCAGTGTTGATTCCTTTGTATGTTCCTTTCTTGCCTAAGCTCCTCCTTGATTGTACTGGGTCCAATCGCTAGGAAGGGCTCAGGCCCTGTAGGCGACGAGGCGGCCGCCAATCTAGCTAGTCGGTCCGCTTCTTCGTTGCCCGCAACTCCTATGTGTCCTGGTACCCAAGTTAATTGGATTTTGTTGTGCTCTGCCAGGCTGTTGAGCCTATCTATGCACTCAAGAACCAAGGATGACTTGACCTTGGCTGTCTCTCAATATTAAAATTCTCTCATTACGGTAATTCCTCCGTAGGTTAATCTCTGCACACAGAATGATGGCATAGACCTCCGCCTGGAAGATACTCGGGTACGCCCCCATAGGTACCGAGAGCTGTAGCCTCGGCCCGTAGACGCCAGCCCCAATGCCTTCCGGAGTCTTCGAGCCGTCTGTGTACCATTGCAACGAGCTCGATTGGATCAGCCTCTCCATGAGAGAGGAGCTCCAGGTCGCCTTGGTGCAAAGCTCTATTTTGAAATTCCTGTCAAAGTTAACCACCTTAGGCCTGTCGTCTCTGGGGAGTAAAGCTAGCGGAACTTGGGAGCCTAGCTTGTCTCTGTTCCTTAATGATATAGTTCTGCCCCTGCCAAAGCCTTCCCTCGCGAAATTTAGTAGAGTTCGCTTTGCAGCCTGTTCTATGGTAAGGTGCAGCGGCTCGAGCTCGAGAATCACCTCCAGCGCTGCCGTCGGACATGTGCGCATTGCCCCCGTAATGCATACACATGCCAGACGTTGAAGCTTGGTGAGGGATTGCCTCACCGTGGTGAGGGTGGTTCTCGAGGCCCAAGCCACTGCTCCATAGGTGACTATTGGTCTAACTATCATGGTATACATCCATCTCAGAATCCTGGGACTGCAGCCCCAGGTCTTTCCTGCCAGGCGTTTGCATACCATTAGTGCCCTCGTAGCTTTGGAAGTGACCGCGTCAACATGTGCCTTCCACAGAAGTTTAGAATCCAGGATTAGTCCTAGATATTTAACTTCGGTGGCGACGTTGATGGCGACCCCATTCAAAGAAATGTTCCTCATGCCTGGAAGCGTTCTTCTTCTAGTGAAAGGGACAATAACCGTTTTAGAGGGGTTGATGCTGAGGCCCATTTCCACGCACCAGCCTCTTGCCAGGTTTAGTCCCCTTTGCACTATATCACATAGAGTGCTCACGAACTTTCCTCTGGCGATATTTATCCGTGACATTGTCCGTGAGAATCCGTAGAAGTTCGTCCACAACTAGGCTCCCTGCGGGCAACCTTTTGTAGTTTTTAACTGTACCACGCTGTCCCCGATATCGGTTTCAGCGATTCTTGAATTTAGTAGCCTGGCTATCCACCTGCGGATCGTTGCCTGCACATTGCGTTTTTC